AGGAAGGAAGGAAGGAAGGAGATTGGTGAAGATAAAAAATCTTTCGCCAAAAAAACGAAAAAAATAAAAATATACCTGTTAAGCTGGGAGAAAATATTTGCAGCATTTATCATAGATAAATGGGTAATGTCCCTAATATATAAAAACTTTTTTAAATTAAGGAAAGGAAAATCAAAAACTAGATAGAAAAAAAGAGTAAAAGATGAGTAAACAATTAATCAAAAAATAGCCTAAACGTGTGAAAATGTTCAACCCACTCAAAATTAGGAAACGCAAATTACAGCTTTACTGAGAAGTCATTTCTCACCTACCAGATTGTTGAAAATTAGAAAGACAACACCTTCTATTAGAGAAACTGTGGGACATAGGCATTCTCATACATTGCTCATTGGAATGGAACCGGTACAACCCCTTTGGAAGGGAATTTGGCAATAAATAATAGCTACATATCTATTTAAGACTACCTTTTGACCCAGCAATTCCACTTCTAAGAATTTACCCTGAAGATATAACTCCAGCAAAACAAAAATACATGTGCACAAGGTTATTCATTGCAGCATTGTTTGTAATTTGAAGATATTGGAAATAACCTAAGTGCCTATACCTAGGGGAGAGGTTGAATAAATTATGGTATATCCACACAATGCAGTACTATGCATCTGTGAAAAAGAATGAAGGTCTTAGCATAAACTTATATGGAGTGATTTCCAGGATATATACAATGTTATATGTCAATTATATCTCAATAAAGCTGGGAGGAAAATTAAAAAATAAGATTAATCTTTATGCTTTTATATTTTACACATACTCAACCACGAGCATGCATTTATTTTGATAATATACATATATTTAAAGTTTTAAAAAGCACTAGCAGGGGCCGTGGCCCCTGGTGTGTTCCGATGGCACCTTGTCAGCGTCAGCTGTCTTGTCCTATCGCTGCTGTCCTCTGGCGTGGCCACACCCTGGCTGCACCAGCAGCTGTGGCTGTGCTGAAATAGTTCTGAATGGGCTCATGACAGCGAGACAGCTGTGCTCTCCGATGACTTAGACGTGACATGTCTCTCCCCACAGGCGATGAGGACATCATAGGACAGAAGGAATTCGAAAAATGACAATGCGCATACTCTGGTGAGGAAACACCCTGTTCCTTTTTGGTGGTGTGAGAGTTCCCAAGTGGCGAACTTGGAGTGTGTCTGCATTGCTAAAGTGTCACTGATTTTTTTTAAAGCAAATTATTATTTGTTATAGGTTTATGGGACATCTTGGATGCCTAGGAAAACTATTCTTTTTAGTTACAGCTCTTAAAAATAAAATTAGAAATAGCACTTCTCAGTGTTGGGCATAAGTTGTAGAGAGCCAGTAAATACTGGTCTGATGAGCTCATCGAGAAGTGAATCGAAAAGGTGTGAGTGGCTAATATGAGCAGAAAACTGTGGGCTGGGTTCTGAAGTTTGGATTATGCAACGGGTTTGACAGTCTCTGATCTATTTATTCCACAGCTTTCCAGTTTCTGCCAGTTGGAGGTGACTTCATCGGCTCACTGAGCTTTCCTCTGGCCTCAGAAAGAAGTGTTAGCAGGTCAGGATCTCAGAGGGTGGGCTGAACGCCAACATTCTCCAAAGGGGTTTAACAGCTTGATGCCAGCAGGCATCCTAAATTCTGTGTCACTCACAACCCAGATCTCACTGACCAAGCTCTTCATGTCACAAAACCGAGTCTTTAATTTGTGATTTGTTTGTTTATTCTAGATTCTCCTCATTCCCTTCTGTCACTTATGAGACATGATTCCCTGAACTTAGTCTCAGAGACTGCTACCATTCAAATGTGGGGAAGAATTATTAATCCCTCATTTAGAGGAATGAGACATAAAGTTTCTATTAACTCAACTTCTGAGTAACCTCAGACAACGCAGAATATACTCTTGTTAAATGGCATGCTCTTTGGGAAAACCCAACCGATTTTCTGATATTTACAAAATATTTAAGAAAACAACGCTAAAACCCTGGGAATTTTAAATTTACTTCCCACATATTAAAAAGGGAGTGTACGATAGCAAACATTTATTATTCTGTATTGAAATCTGGCATTGTGTTTCATTGCTATCCAGAAGATAAATTTAAATTATGATGTGCTCTCTAGCTGGTTTGGCTCACTGGTTAAAGCATCGGCTGCATGCGGGAGGCAACCAATCGATGTGTCTCTCTCACATTGATGTTTCTCTCTTTCTCTCTCACCCCCCTCTTTGAAAAAAATCAATGGAAAAAATATCCTCAGGTGAGGATTAACAACAACAAAAAATTATGATGTGAAATTAAATGTAAAAATCTAACAAGATTAGTAAATGGCTTTAAGATCTTAGAATTAAAGCATGCCTGTGCAGTTTGCATCTTAATTACTTCCATCGCCTTTTTAAAAATATATATATTTTTTGTCATATTTTTATTGATTTCAGAGAGAGAGAGAGAGAGAGAGAGAGAGAAACATCAATAATGAGAGTCATTGATCGGCTGCCTCCTGCTCGCCCCCTACTGGGGATCCAGGCCACAACCCAAACATGTGCCCTGATGGGCAACTGAACCGCGATCTCCTGGATCCTAGATTGACGCTCAACCGCTGAGCCAGGCGGGTCAGGCCTTCCATCACCTTTTAGCAATAATAATAGCCAACACAGTTTAAGGTGACTCGTATATATTAGTTCATTTAATCCCTACACTAACCTTACGAAGTAGGCTCTTTTTAGATCCTTTGTACAGATAGACAGGCACCAAGACTCCTTTGCCCAAGGTACCCAGCTAATAAACGACAGAGCACAGATTCAGGGCCTGTTTCTGACTACAGCATGAATACTTTTAACTACTGCGTTTCGTTGTGTCTGAATTACTGTCAAGGCAACTTGTCATGCTAAACTCCTTTCCCTCTGCCTCCCGGCATCGTTATTGGTGGCTCCCCTTTTCCTCTCCCACTGATATTTGGTAAATGCTAACCAACCAACCCCCAAAGAGTTGATTTGTAGCATTTGCCAATTTCCACGGCCAGGTTCCAAGTGGCCAATTTCAGATTTCCAACGTGGTGCCACTGGCTGTGGAGCTGGGAAGAGATGTGCGGTAGCACCCCGCTATATAGGATTTATAGCGTATGGATACAGTAGATGTATAAATAACCCCGGGGGCACAGGAAATAGCGAAAATAGTTAGATAACAATGAGCTTTAAGTATTATCTTTGTTTTAAATATAATCTAGAGGCAGCCAATCAATGACTCTCATCATTGGTGTTTCTCTCTCTCCCTCTCCCTTTATAAAAATTATAAATTTATATAATTTAATTCTAATTATTATTTTTTTAATTCCTGAAAATACAGCAATTGGCTCTCAATTGCTGAAAGTACTTTTTAGTGTAAAGTTGGGAGGAGGGTGAAATTACGGTTTGGGGTTACTGTCTCAGTGGTGTCTGACTTGGAACTCTCCTCCAGACAAATTTTTGGGTTTACCAAAGTCCTATTTCGAGGTAACAGCCGGGGAATGGGTTTGCCAGCTGCTGCTGAGAGTTCTGCGGTCTGCCGCGCCACCTGGAGGTTAGAATTGGAATTAGCTACACTCCTTGCTGCTGGCTTCGGGGGCTTTGTTTAGACGGGGAGCATTTTTCACCCACTAGCATTTTCAGCTACTAATTAGGCTTCCGGCGTGTAATTTAACTCTTGTAGTTTACAGTCTCTTGCACTAAGACCTTTAGGATAAATTCCCAGGCATTGGGCCAAACAGCATTTGACTAAAAAATTAGCAAAGTTTTTTTTGCCCTCCCCAGGATCACTAACTACCCCAACACCAGAAGAGTGGGGAGGACTTCCAGGCTTGGCTTCTAAATGTTAATCAGAATAGCCAATGTCCCAGCCAACAGGCACTCAGACTAATGAATACACAGTATTCTATCTCTTCAATATGCCATACTTCCTTTTTCTCTAATGTGTGTGTATTTTTTTCTAAATTTTTATTATTATATGTATATATAAAGTACCCTGCATCTCAACACTTGGAAAGTATTTCTACAAATCTTATTTATTTACTCAAAACCTATTTATTGATATCTACTACATGTAAGTCACCGGCCCGGGTAATTTAGAGGGTCCAAAAATGAAGCATGATTAGATACTGCCCCCCCCACCCCGAGTTTGTGATTTACAAGGGAGTTAGCACTCTGTGGATGAAAGCTAGGCTTTGTCTCACCTTAACAAGGACCCTGCGAGATGGGCCAGGGCGGTGTTACAGCTCCATTGTTTATGATGCTTGCCTGAGGCCTCATAGAACTTGCCTTTAGCTTGACACTTGATTGATAGTTCGGCTGGGCCTTGATTTCTGGTAAAAAGTCCCTTCCATTCAGAATTTTAAAGGTATGTTCCATTGTTTTCTTATTTGCAGGGTCCCCTGTTAAGGAGTCTGACACCATTTGGATTCCTGATTTTTTATTATCTGTGTCCTGGTTCTTCTGGAAATATTTAGATTTTCTTTTTATCTGAAAGTTTCTGAAGTTTACTGGGGACGTGTCATGTCGTGAGTCTTTGTTGTCATAGATGCTCGGCGGCCCAGGATCTGGAGGACTGTGTCTTTCGTTTTCGGGAGTTTGTTTCTGCCGTTGATAATTTTCTTTGCACCAGTTTCTCCACTCTTCTTTTTGGAATTTGGATTATTTTGCTGTTGCACCTCCTGCAGTGATCTTCAAATTTATTTATCTTTTGCCTCCTGTTGTCTTTAAAAAACTATCTGGGAGATTTCTTTCAACTTTATTTTCAACACTTTACTGATTTTTTTAAAAACATTGGCTGGCAGATTTTTAATTCCTTAATCTTTTCTTGTTCTTTGTTCTTTTGAAAGACTGTTCTTATTTCAGAGATGCCATGTTTGCTTATTTCTCTGAGCACACTCATCGCTTTTTCTTCTGCTCCCTGCATAGTCTCTGTTTCTTCTGATTTCTGGTTTCTGTGTTTGTTTGGGTCCCTTTTGTATTACTCTTAGTTTAAATCTACTCCTCCAATATCTGGCAAGTTGAGCCTGACCAATAACAAGTGGAGCGTATTTCCGAGCTGATGTCTGGGGGGCTTTCCCGTAGCCTGACTGGATGACTGGGGAGGGACCTCCCTGCTTTCTTGGGGACCTGCTAATGCTCATGTCCCCCACACAGGGAAGCGTGTCTCCCATTTCCTGCGTAACTGGGAGCAGATGCATAGAGCTGGGTAGAGGAAGGGTCTGGGTGGGGAGAGTTTCACGGTTTAATATTAGACTCTCACTTTTATTTTTCAGTCTGGCATCTCGTTCGTCATTGGGGGGATCTTGATAATCATCTGTAGAGAAACTTACGGCTGTGCTAAGTGTTTCTTGATGACTTATTGAGATACAGTCTAAGCTTGTCTGCACCACTGCCCTGTGTTCCCTGTAACCCCTGTGCAGGGAAGCTGCTGACTCTGGGGCCTTACACCAGGGACCTAAGAGGCCCTGCTCAATTAATATTTATACTCTGAGCCACTTAAACTTAGTCATGAAATAAAGTAAATCAATAAAGTGCACATCTTACTGACAACGGCTCAAACACTCGTCAGTCTAAACTCAACAGCAATTATTTATAACCGATGAAATGGAAAGGCTCATGTGACAAGAAAGACTAATTTGTTCATAAATTTTCTTTGCTGATGTGATGTCAAGAATGGCCAGATAAAACTAGCCTAGCATCTCCAGGTACTGAAAGGAAGGTGTGAAATGATGCCACCATTCCTGCTTCGATCCCTGACCAGTACTGGGTAGTGAGCTGCGATGGATCTCAGAGTCCACCTGGTCCCATTTTCTTCATCTAGTTTAGTTTCCTTAAATTAAGGCTCAGAGTGGTGAAATAATTAGACTGTTCTCCCCAATTAAACCTTACAGACTTTTTACAATACAGGGTATTTTTTTAAATATAGGTTATTTTTTAAGTTGGATATCTCTGCAGCAATTACTTTTGTGCATCTAGGATCAGTCCTGGGTTACATGGTGCAATGAGATGTCTTTCCTTGAATACTTGCTAAAGGGTAGAAGTCATTGGACAGGGATAAGGTTTGCATTCCACAGTGAAAGATAAAGCTTGCAGAGCAAAATTCCTGAGCTCCTTCAACTCCTCCCCTTCCCCTTGCAAAAGCCCTCCACTGACTGCTCCAGAAAGCCCAGCCTCTTTGACTAGGTTTTCAGTATGACCCCCACCTTGAGTGAATGGTCCAGAGCCTCTCCCCTCCCCCCTAAGCTGCTCTGGAGGTCATGCAGAGCTCATCCCCCTACTGTTAGCCCAGCCTCTTTCCTGTTGGTTCCCCATCTGACTTCTTCACTGAAGCCATCTATGTCCTTTTGGCCCACAGTGTCTGGGATTAGGCCTCTTATATTAGTTGGGGTCCTCTGAGAAGTAGAAACCATGTTAGGATTCAATGTGCAAGACTTACTGGGGGCAACGCCATGAAGGAAGACAGAATGGGAGTGGGCAGGGGGGTCTGCAGACTCGATGCAGCCCTGGCTCCAGGGGGGAAAGGAGGGAGGGAGGGCTGGAGAGGAGGGGCTGGCTTTTGCTAAGGGCTTTGCACATATTATCTCAAGTTTTACAACAAAAAGTCTATGACATAGACGCAGAGGCCGAGAGAGGGTAAGTGGCTTGCCCAATGCCACACAGCCAGCTGGGGTTTGAAGGCTCTTGGTGGGACTTCAGAGCCTGTGCTGTCACCACTACTTGACTCCTCCTGGAACTAACATTACTTTCTCCTTCAGGACAGGTTTTGTTTTCTCGGATAATTTTTAAGGATTTTAGGAATAGAGGATCCAATAAATATTCTGTAAAATGGGTTTAAATGGAAACTAGAAAGATATTTAGATATAAGAGCACATCTCTGTATCTGCTCCAGTAGACAGAATACAGAAATGTTTCTAGCCTGCCTGGGACCACCGCTGAGTCTTTGATCCAGAAGACTTTTAAGAGGAGCATCATCTAACCTAGAGGCTCTGTCCATCGCTTCCCCAGAGGCAGGGGCTAAAGCAGGTAGGCTCTGGACACTTCCAGCCAACAGCCCACAGATGCTGAGTGCACCAAGGATAACAGCACACAAGAGCCTAGAAAGTTTTATAGGTGCACTTGACATAAAGAAGTCCCCTCCAAATGTTGACATCTATATTTGGATGTGAATATATAAACATGGGGCGCAAAATGCCACATTTGTAATTTGTTACCTGGATAAGCGGGGACTATTGTGAAGGCCGCCGAGGAGGGAGGAGGGTGAAGCCAGACAGAAAGATGAACTGCACCGAAAAGTCCCTCAGCGTGCGACACGGTCACAGTAACACTTCTAACGCTTCATCACTTAGATGGGAAAATAAGAAAACACAAACTTGGAAACAAATGGCAAGAAGAAAGGGGGAAGGCATCAGAGCTTGGTGAAGGGTGGATCTGGCTCCCCAGCGCCGTGGTGGATGATGTGTGGCGCGGGCCTGCAGGCGCCCCTCGCTCGGCCGGCTGTGCAAACTCTGCGCCGCGTCGGGCTGACCTCCTGGCCCGCACACCTCGGGAACGTGCTGGAATGAGCGAGGGTCGGAGGAAGCGTGAAGAGCAGCCAAAGGGGAAAGTGCTGTGCCCAGGCAGGGATTGTAGGGGGCAGCAGAAGCCCAGGCGTGGGAAAAGCCAGCCAAAGCCTGCGGCACTGGGAACTGGATGGCAGGGGGCCCTCTACTTGGCCTCAGTGACTTACGGAAAGGCCTGGACGATTTTAGCAGCCGTGATTTTAGTGGAGTCAGCACACCATTTGAAACTACCCTGTCTGTTCTTCAGCATAAAGTTATCTGAGATCACGAGTACAAACTCTGCAGAATCATATATTCATGTTTCTTTACGTAAAAAATAAAATAAAAAAATAGAGGGGGGGGGAGGGAGGGAGTCTGTCAGTATTAGGACGTTATTATTAATCAACATTTAATGAGATGGCTTTGAAATTGGGGCCTGTGACAGCCATCATCAATCATTAATGTTTTTTATTCTGGAACAAATTCTCCCCTTTTGACTGGGTTGCCAGGGAAACGGTGCAGACCCTCCTTGAGGTACCTGCAGCCGGGAGGGGTAAGATGATTCCTCGCTGCAGTAAACTCCCAGGGCTTCCCTCAGATGGTGGCAAAATCATTGCTTTTGAAAATCATTTCATCAGATCTTATTTGGGTTGCATGTGCCTGGTTTATTTTTGCCTATCCCTTAATTTTTAAACTCCCCATGAAATGTTTAAACTGTTTCTTGCAGAGGGCGTGTAGCTCGATATTGTTTCCTGACCCAGCCCGAGGGGCTTCGCCTGGGACTGCAGGGCCCCTGCTCGCACCTCTCCCCACAGGTTGGATTTCCTGCCTTCCTCCTTTGTGTTTACTGTGTGTTGTATCTATTGTCCATGCTTTCCCTCTTTTCCAGTTTCTTCCAGTTAGTCAGGATGTTCATTTTGAAAGTCCTTCTCCCTGCCCTCCTTCCTCTCAGGCAATACCCATTTTACTACATCGCTCTTGTATTTTAACTCCTATTTAACGTTAGAAGTCTCTATCAGTATATAAAGATCACGTAATCACGTTGACTCCCTAAAAATGTAACATCATCAATCCTTTCCCTCCCACCAAATTGAGACTCAGGGGTGCTTTTGCTTTCTTACTTTATTTGTTCTCCATTCCTAATACCTACATTTTGTTCCTAAAATTAAAATTTGTAGTTATGACTTTAAAAAAAATTTTTGAAAACAATTTTACAATTAGAAAAATAAAAATAATACAAAGAACATTTGTAATGCCCTTTACTCAGATCTACTTATTGTCAACATTTTACCCCAATTCTCTTTATCATTTGCTTTCTCTTTGTACGTACACACATACACACACACACACACACAGGGATGTAATTCTTTTCTGAACCATTTGAAGGTAAATTGCATATATACCCTTATATTTATCCTGATCCTTAAACACTTGAGTGTATGTTTCCTAAGAAGAATGATAGTCTCTTACATGTCCACAGCACAGTCACCAGTTTAACAAGTTTTTGTTGTTATAATGTTTTATCTAATGAATCGTCCACGGTCACGTCTTGTCAGTTGACTGAGTGTCTTCTGCAGCACCCCCACCCCTCTCCAGCGCGGGATCCAGTCCAGGGGTAAGTGTCCCACTTAGTTGCCTTTCTAGCCTTCTTTAGTCTAGAATGCTCACAGCCTTTCTTGGTATTTTATGACATTAACATTTTTTAACAGTAGAGTCCCCTGGCATTTTAAAAAATAGAATGTTGTTTGATTTGTGTTTTCTGGTGAGTCTGCCGTGCTAGATTCAGCTCAAGCCCTCTCAGCTCACTACTGTAGTGAGGCTGTTTTCCTCGGGATCTGCCCCCTGCCCTCACAAGCACCTCCCTCCCTCCAGTGGGGGTGCTAGTTCTGGTCACCTATGCAGGCTGCTGTCTGGTTCTCCTCTCTGTAATTACGGTTGTGTTTTTGTCCCTGCAACTAACAAGCATCTGTAGGGATACACCTTATTGCCACGCAACCATCCTGCTCCTTATCAAATCTCCCCCCAGATGTACCATCCACTGATGATTTTTCCCTGATCCAGTCATTATTGATGTTTGCAAAATAGTGATTTTCCAGCTCTATCACTCCCTGCACATTTGCCGGCAGCTCTTGGCATTTTATTGTAAGCAAGAGCCCTTCCTTGTCATCTCTCTATCTTTATCTATTTATCTATCTATCCATCCATCCATCTATTTATCCATCCACCCACCCATCTGTATCTACATCTATCATCTATCTATCTATCATCTATCTATCTATCTATCTATCTATCTATCTATCTATCTATCTATCTATCATCTATCATCTATCTATCATCTATCTATCATCTATCTATCTGTCATCTATCATCTATCTATATCATTTCCTACCTAGTCTATTGGCACAGACTCATTAATCCCTGCATTTTCAATGGTTTGTAATTCAGTACTGTACTTAATAATTATGGTGCTCAAATTGTCCCAGATTTGACAGTGAAAGTCACATTTGTATGTCCCTCCTTCCACAGTGAGAACTTGGCTTCCAGCAATATCAACGTGTTCAGTTATTTGCTCAATCCTTTAGTACATCTAAAATTGTTTCAAAATTACTTTGTCCATGCAGCTAACATAAGCAAATCACTAAAAAAAGTTTCAGGATTTGTTTACATCCCCCCCCCCGCCCCCGGCACACCTCAGTGGCCATTACCTTTTTCAAAGATCTGAAAGAGGACCAGTTTCCACCTTCTGATTTTATATATAAAGTCCAGAGAGGCTAAAAAGCTTAGTAAATGCCACAGAGCTAACAAGTAGGAAGGCAAAAGAAATAACTCATTTCTAGACCCTTGCCTTCTGTCTCCCCTTCACTGCTCATATCTTCCTGGGCAGTGATTTTTATTATTGTTCTATAAACAAATGAGTGCTGATCTTCAAATGTTACCAGGACAAACCTAAACCAGAACCAACTCAAAACAACAAAAGATAAACAAATAAAATAGAAGGAAAGAAAGAGGGTCGGGTAGTGGGGAGGGAGGAAGAAAAAACCTGGTAAAGAAATGATGAAGCCATCCTTTCAAAAGTCTAATAAAAGCAGACAGCTCTATGTTTTTCATAGTCATGATCCTGGAGTAGCTGGTAAAAAGCAGCAGAGAAAGAAATTGCTGAGTAAACCGAGATCTAGCCTCAGTTAGATGAAAGGGGATATAAGACTGCGTGGGGCCGTGAGGGGGAGCAGCCAGAGAAGCGAGTGGCTCACATACAGTGTGGTGCTGAGCACAGCCCCGAGCCAGGCCGTGAGGCGGGGGTGTGAGGGGCCCGAGGCCTGGCCGGCCGGGGGTGGGCGCAGCAGGAGGGCGACGTGGGGGGAGAGCAGGCAGAAGTGGGGTCACAGCGAACACCTGACCGAACAAACGATTCAGCCGTTGGTACAGCACAGGAAATTGCTGTTTTTCTGGTTAGAAAGAATAATCAGAGGACACAGGCTCTGTCCCCAAATATCTGGCTGTGGCTCCGAAGTCTTCCTAGATCTGTGCCATTTGTGGCCCCTGCTGCTGATGGTTTGATGCCAGCATTTGCCACTACTCTCTTCAAGGTAAAGACTAGTGATGCTACAAATGAAGCACCAGTAAGGTCCTCACTACTTTTTCCTGTTCTGTCACTTCGAGGTCATTTACTCTGAATCTCAGCTAGAGTCCCTGGGACGCACTTGTTGGAGAAACACACCAAAAGGAGTTAGGATGACTGGTTTTTACCCGTGATAATAACATTTCAGTGGCTCTTGAGAAATGGAAAGTACAATATTTAAATTGAAATCATAAATGATACAAATTTGGGCAAGGAGTGAAAGCAAATGAAGCTATGAAATGGAGACTCTCCCAGACACATAGCTGCAGTCATCGGTAAGAGCTGGTGTCACTTAGGATGGGACAAGCACAACAGTTCTCAGAATGTCTCCTGTCACGCCAGATTATATTAGCAATCTGTTTGTCAGATGGCCCAGATGGACACCAGCAAGGGAGGCTGGGAAAAGGTGATTCTCTGGTACTTATGCTCAAACAGATGGATTTTTCCAAAGTGATTCAGGTTGCCACATTGTCAAAGCAACAGCTAAGAAAATAACACAGATTGGATTTCCTACATAAATGATCTTCTCTAGCATTTTTTTTTTCTTTTTTCAAATTTCTGCTTCCATTTTACCTCTTCTGTGAAATCTTTCCAGGCTGTGATCATTCAGCGTTTATTCCCTTCAGTTCTTTGATATACTCCCGGACACCCACACAGTTCTCTGCTATCCAGCCCCACAAATAAGGTGTTGGTGAGTTAACTCACTAGTGGAGACTCACTAGACTTAAACATCCATAAATTAGCGAACTTTACAGAGCTAGAAAATAAAATACATATAACACCAAAAAAATAATTTTAGTATCTATCATCGGTATAAAGCTTTATAGCAATTTACCCCACCGTTTGTTATTATCTCACTTCTTATTAACTGCGCGCTTTTGAATTTCTGCCTGCACAC